TATTTAGAGTTAAATATAGTAATATATCTTCATGACCCTGGAGTAGTGCCTTCTTAAACAAGATACAGAAAGTGTAATCTATAAGGGCCACATAGCCAAAAAGGGGGGGGGGGGGGGGGACTATTATTTCTCAGCCTCTTTTTACTAAGGTTGGGTCATATGTGTAAGAGCTACTCAATGGTATAGAAGCAAAAATGGGATGACCAACTCCCCAGAAGTGTTCTTAAAGAATGGTTACATATCTTTCTCTATCCTTTTCCCTTTTCTGCAACTGGAAGGTTATCTACCTTATCTTGAGGAGCCACCTTATACCATGAGTTTGAAGCTACATACTGAAGTTGACAGAGTAACAAGACAAAGAACCCTAGGACTTTGATGCTCAAGGAGCTACTCAAATCTACCCTGAAAAGCCCATCTCTCTACTAAAAGAGAAATGAACATTTATCTTGGTTAAGCTATTTTATATTGGGTTTTCTGCCACTCATAGCCAAACCTACACCTACCTGATAACAAAAATTGTTCTAACTAAAATATGTCCAAAATGCTAGAATAATATTTTTCTAGGTTAGTATCAGAAAAGACATTAGAAAAAAAAAAAATTTTTTTTGTTTGGATTTAAATCACAACTGGAATAATGCAGGGTCTGCCAAAGAGAAAAACACAAAGAAGGACTTCTGACTACAGTCAGAGAAACAGCAGGCACAAATACATGAAAGATGATAATGAAGACAACAAAAAAGTCCACACTTCTTTGAGATGAAGAATGGTAATGAAAAAAAAAAAAAATGCTACCATTTACTGAGCACATTGTATGTACCAGATTATCTCAAATAATCCTCACAATATTGCAGTGGGATAGTACTTTATGATGGTTCCGAAAGAATAAGGAACTTTCCCAAGACACACAGCTAGAATGCAGCTGTGCTGGGCTTCAAACCTGAGCAGTGCCATTTAACAACTGAGCCACCCCTACCAGGCATGTGTCCTGACTGGGAACAAACTGACAAACCTTTGGTGCACGAGACAAAGCCCAACCAGCTGAGCCACACCGGCCAGAACCCAAATAGTTAAACCTTTAAAAAATAATAAAACTCATTATTTACAGTTTGTGCTTTCCTCATATTTCTATTAATAGTTTAATATGTTCTTCCCCTAACTATTTATTGCCTTAATACAGTACCTCAAATGATAACAGCAAGAAAAGTACAAGGAAGATGGTGAGAATGTGTATTTTATGCAAAAATTAAATAACAATTGATAATCCCAAAAGAAAAAAAGGGGACTTGGGATTTCCTTAAACTCCTAGTAAAGTGCTCAAAACTATTAGGGTTTAAAAAAAAAAAACTATTAGGGTTTGACACTGTGTCATTTTAGTCAATCGAAGAAATGATCAACTGTGTACTCACCACACTGAAATCAAGACTCTCTTTAATCCATTTTTGCCCATCTCGGAATTCATCATGTAGTCCCATGATATAAAGGGTATCCAAAGCATCGACTATGGTAGCACCCATTTGTGAACTTCCTATTTTTGGAGATGAAAAACTGTCATTAAAAAGATGGCCTTCCCATAAGGCTTATTGTAACGTTTTAGAGTAGAGGCCCGAGGCATGAAAATTCATGCAAGAGTAGGCCTTCCTTCCCCTGGCTGCTGGCACCAGTTTCCTTCCAGCGCCAGGTACCCAGGCTTCCCTTCTCCAGCCACCAGCAGGCACCAGGACCCAGGCTGGCTTCCCTCAGGCCGCCCACAGGCACCCAGGATCCGGGCTGGCTTCCCACCAGCCCCGGCTTCATCAGGAAGGACGTCCAGAATGTCCAAAAGATGTCCGGTCTAATTAGCATATTACCGTTTTATCATTATAAAAAGCCAATAAAAGTAGGAATATTAGGGAATATTAGGACCCAAAAGAATATCCAACATGGTTCACTTTTCTCTAAGGATAATATACATTGTTTAATATATCTTCCTAAAAATGGCACATTGACAACTAATGAGATTTTTTTAAAAAACCAAAATTATAATTATCCTTACTTTTCTTTTTGGTCATAATATAAGAGCTATCTATTTAACTAAATTAGGTTGAGTAAAAAGGAGGATTAATTTAAGAAATGGGGAGGTTGGTTCAAGACAACAAGCTAAGTCATAAGATTGTGGGGATGGGAGAGAGAAATCCTACAGTGGGGACTTGCTATAGTTCTAATAAATATAAATCATGCTCTATTAACCATGATTAAAGAAAGCACATTCTGACCTGTCTGGGAGTTGTAGGCCCCCAACCTGAGAGTTAAGCTTGAAATGAGGTCTATTCTCCTTATCCAAGAACTGCCTATCATCATGAAAAGATTAGCAGCCTTCTTGGGAAGCAGCAATGGAATCCCAAGGAATCCCTCTCTTCCCCCCCCCCCCCCCCCCCCCCCGCCTGTAATCTGTAACCATTTTACCCATTTTTATTCCATTTGGATACCCATTCTTACTGGCCCCTGGTGGTCAGTGCATTCCCGGGGGGGGGGGGGGGGGGGGGTGCTTCTCAGCCAGAAGCTGGGCTCACAGCTGGTAAGCGCAGTGGTGGTGGCAGGAGCCTCTCCCACTTCCATGGCAGCAATAAGGATGTCCGATGGACAGCTTAAGCCTGCTCCCTGTGGGCTCCCAGTCATCAAGAGGGTTCAGGCCAGGCTGAAGCCCTCCCACCCCCCGCCCCCCACAAGTGCACAAGTTTCGTGCACTGGGCCTATAGTATCTTGATAACAAGACAAGTACTCCATCACACTCTGGTAAATTCCCAACTCGTCTTCTCCCAACTCCATGTTGATATTAACTAGAATGTTCTGGGTTATTACAGACATACTTTCCTTTTACTTTTCTTGCTCCTCAGCTTTTATTAAGATAATAAAACCTTTATTAAGTGATTTAATCACCCATATATCCCTATCTCTTCCATAATCACTTAAATATTTCCCTTTAGTATTTTGTCCAAAATATTTATGCTTATTTTAAATCCTTGAGTACCAGTTTTTGTTCTTATTTCAGCTTATATGTAGTTTTAAGGTTTGTGCCATTGGCTAAAAGCCCCAAGGCACAGATAGGCAAAATTATTAAAAGATATACGCAGCTAATTTTACTACTAAAACTTCTGCAGATTGCATTTTCAACTTTGTCTACCATTTCACTATCATTTTCTTCTCACACTGGATTTTCCCTCTGTCTCAATACTACCTTTTTCTATCTTGAAGGATTCCTGAAGCAGTATAGAATAGTGGTTATAAGCATGGATCTGAAGCACTAGAATGTTTGGATTCAAATCCTGGCCCCATTATTTCCTAATTGCGTAACTTAAGAAAAGTTAGTTGACCCTAAATGTGCTTTGGCTTTCTCATCTCTAAAATAGGAACAGTCCCTGTCTCATAAGGTCGCTGTTAGTATTTAATAAGTCAAATTCGCATAAATCTCTGAAGTAAGTCTGTGGCATAGAGTAAGTTTATTAGACTGCTCAGGCTGCCATAACAAAATATCATACTAGGAGGCTTAAACAACGGACATTTATTTACTCATGGTTCTGGAGACTAGAAATCTAAGATCAAGGCTTCAGGTTTTGGTGAAGGCTTTCTTCTTGGCTTGCAGATGTCTACCTTCTCACCGTGTCCTCACATAGTTTTTCCCTGGTGCATGTACATGGGGAGAGCACACTCTGGTGTTTATTTCTCTTCTTTTAGAGGCCCCACACTTATGTTATTTAACCTTATTGAGATTAGGGTCCCACACTTACCACCTCATTTAACCTTTATTAGGCTTAACTCCCAATTAGGCTCTATCTCCAAATATATATTGGGTGTTGGAGCTTTAACATGTAAATTTGTGAAAGACACAATTCAGCCACAGCAGAATAAACTATATAGATACTACAGATGTTTTACTATTGATCTGTATATGACTATTGCTCTAAAGGAAAACAGAGTCTTATTCAACAAACCAAATTACATAATCTAAAGCACATTACTGACCTCATGTCCAATTGGTAAAAGAAGGTAAAACATTTTATGGTAATGTACGCTGAATTACTATTCACTGAAAGAATAATCCTTCTGAAATGGAGGACCACTGGGGAAATCCTGCTTCTATACCCAGTTAACCCAGAATGAAAGGGCTTCTTTTGTAAAACCTACCTTCCCAACACTGTAACTCCCTTTAACTTTTATGATTTCACAAATAAGTCTGAGTGTGCCCGGGAAACCAATTTAAGTGTTCCTCATAGCCAGCTAGCAAAAACTCTCCTGACAATAATCTGAACCTGCCAAGCCCCATCATCACTTACCAACCTAACCAATCAGTGTTCTATAAGTTTACATTTGAAGAAGTCTGACAGAATTACCAAAAATTAAAACTGCTTTTCATTTTTTTTAAGATTCTATTATTTTTTTTGAAAACATGAAGTCAAAACTCCATTAGAATTTAACAAAATTACATTCAGTTAACAAACATCCCTTTTGTTCACTTAAAAGATTTGTATTGACTTCTAAGGAATAAATTTTAAAAGTTACATGAAAACTCATTTATTTTCTGAATTTAAATTCAGAAATGTTTCCTTACAGTTATTGCAATGATTATACGAAGTAATGTGATTTACCTACTACCTTGCCTAAAACCAGTATCTAATTAATAAATGTTGATACATTAAATGTTCTGAGAAAGGAGATTTAAAAACACAAGCAGAGGCCCTGGTTGAGTAGCTCATTTGGTTAGAACACTTTTGATACGCCAAGGTTTCCGCTTTGATTCCAGTCAAGACACATACAAGAATTAACCAATAAATGCATAAATAAGTGGAACAACAAATCTATATTTCTCCTTCTCTCTCCCTTCCTCTCTAAAATTTTAATTTAGAAAATTAATATCCAACTCTTGTTTTCAGTACACTTTTATACTTCAACCCTTTAAAAGGGCTCACCCTTTACCACTCAGTTTAATTTAACAGGATATTTACTTAAAGAGAGGATATTTATTTCAACAAGGGTGGTCTTTATTAGGAGGCTTCTGAGGGGCAGGGGGCTGAGGGACAGGATGGGGTGGCCAGGCCCAGTTGCAGGCTTCAGCGACCTCTTAGAGCTGGAACAAGGTCCAGCTGGTCCAGGAGACTCCGCCCTGGTCAGGGTGTGCAGCGACTCAGACCTGGTCAGGCCACTGGGAAGTAGTGGGGGAGCCGCTGCAGGTAGATGTCTTCGTCCTTTTTCAGAAACACACAGATGATCAGCCGGTCCACATTGTCCTTGTGCTGCTCCAGCCACTCGCGCAGCGTGAACAGCACTACCTCTGCCGCTGCCTCCCTGGAGTAGCCGAACACTCCGGTGGAGATGCAGGGGAACGCGGCGGAGCGGAGCTTGTGCTCCACCAGCAAGGCGAGGCTGCTCAGGTAGCAGCTGCGGAGCATGGCAGCCTGGCTGGCGCTGGGCGCCCCGTGGACGATGGGCCCCACCGTGTGGATGACATACTTAGCGGGAAGCCGATAGCCACCAGTGATCTTGGCCTTCCCCGTCTCGCAGTGCTTCAGGGTTCGGCACTCGGCGGTGAGGAGGGGCCCGGCGGCCCGGTGAATGCAGCCGTCCACGCCGCCTCCTCCGAGCAGGGAGTTGTTGGCGGCGTTGACGATGGCGCCCACCTCCAGCTTGGTGATATCACCTCGGAACAGGGAGATCTTCTCGTTCAGATGCTCGTCCTTTTTGTACTTGGTCTCCTCCACCTTCGGAGCCAACCCTTTCGCCGCCTCCTTCCAGGTTGGGATGTTGTTCAGCCTGATGAAGTCCAGGCAGAAGTAATGTTCCTCCCGCTGCTTATCGCTCAGGCCCTTCAGAAAGGATTTTGCCTCCCTCCAGTTGGTGGTGTTCGGGTCCACCTTCGCCGCCAAGGCCAGGGGGGTCCAGGTGCACACCCCAGCTCTCCGCCCCACCGCCAGCGCCTCCCACGGCCCAACTCCCGCCGGGCTCCGCGTGCGCGGCCCGTTGGCGTCAGGGGCGGACAGAGGGCCGCACGCACGGCTGCGGGCCTGCCTGGCACAGGCTAAGGTGCCCCGCCAGGGGGGTGGGGCGCCAAGCAGCCGTCCCGCCACACACAGCTGCGCCAGGGGGCCGGGGACTTGGCTCTGCAGAGACATGAGCGGTCGGTCGGCCAGGAGTGGAACCCGCCCACTTGGACTTCCGGAACCAGGTGGCGCGTGCCAGCCCGCAGCGACACACTCCTGGAGGATCTAATTTTAATTAACCGTTTAATATAATGGATTTTACTGCACTAATGCCTCCCATTGTGGCACCTACAAAGCAATGGGAACTTTTCCATCTGTGACCTCTGCTGAGGAAATATACTTATTTCATTAAGTGATCTCTGCTAAATTAAATGTTATATAAATGAGATCTCTGACATCTCGTTATAATTTTAAATTTTAAATAATATTTAAAATTTTTTCCATTATTTCTCCATCCCAACATCTTTCAAACCCAGGAAAAAATAACTTTTCAGTTATTTTCTTTTTTACAGAAAGCATCCAAGCAAAAAAAAAAATTGTAAGAGAATTATAGCATTAGAGAAATTCTTCCATAGTTTTATAAAGAAATATGCTGCTATCTGAAGTACTGTAGTGATGTGTTACAACTAGTAGAGACAACTACATTGTATATGATTAGCTTATGTGCCTTGTCACTCCATTAGTATTTTCACCTATTTTTATTTAAAAGATATCCCTCACAACAAGATTTAAAATAGTGGAAAGAAGTGAAGATTCTAAAAATAATTTTTATAATTCTCAAACTTATCATTGGACTAAGTAAAAGATGTTAAGTAAGTTAACTTTGAACTGAGAAGTTTAACAAATGGACTGAACTCGAGAGGCAGAACGTTCGAGAACTCACGTCGAACACAGCTCTTCCCAGACTTCCTTCCCATTCACACTGTTCATTTTTCCTTTGTAGCTGTCAATGTACAGCATAACCCACTCAATTTACCAAGTAGATCACTTTGGGCATGTTAATTGTTCTATGTGTAGGCTTCCCTCGTTTTATTGAGCTTTGTATTACTGTGCTTCACAGATATTCTGTGTTTTTCTACAAATTGAAGGTTTTTGGCAACCCTCTGCCGAGCAAGTCTATCAGCCCCAATTTTTCCAACAGCATTTGCTCGCTGCACATTTTTATTATTCTCACAATATTTCAAATTTCTTCATTATGGTGATGATCAGTAGTTTTTAATGTTACTCTTGTAATTATTTTGTGGTGCCCATATAAGATGACAAAGTTAATAAATGCTGTGTATGTTCTGACTGTTCCACCAACCAGCTGTTCCCCGTCTCTCACCTTCTCCTTAGGCCTCCCTATTCCCTGATCCACAACAATTTAAAATTATACTAATTAATAACCCTACAAAGGCCTCTAACTATTCAAATAAAAGCATGTCTCAATTTAAATTAAAAGCTAGAAATGATAATGCTTACAGAGGAAGGCATGCTAAAAGCCAAGGTAGGTTGAAAGCTAGACCTTTTGCACCAGTCAGTAAGATGTGAATGAAAAGAAAAAGTTCTTGAATGAGATAAAAAGTACTACTCCAGTGAACACACAAACATTAAGAAAGGAAATCAGCCTTATTGCTGTTTATAAAGATATAAAGATTTAGTAGTCTACAGATCAAACTACATATCTGTGTATTTCAAGGCAACCATAACCAATCTTGACTGAAACTTGAGGGGGAAAAAATGAGTGTTGCTTCAAATCCTTACTGAAACTTGAGGGGAAAAAATTAGTGTTGCTTCAAATTATAATCCCATTCCATAGAAATACTCAGGGTTTAAAAAGTATTTAAAAAGTTAATCTTGTTTTAAAAATGGACATAGAAAATGGAAATAGTAATCAGAAAAAGTAAACTTACCAAATATATTAGTAGAGTGTCCTTTCTTTGCAATAGGTCTGAGTTCATTATGTCCCCATCCATATGTCCTATAATTATCCCAGGCATGTTTCATCATCTGAGAACAAGTTATAAACCATCAATTTACATTATTCACACTGTTATCTTTGTATTTTATATAACTTAAGGATTCCATTCCTATATCCTTACATATTCTCATATATTTCCTACATTAATCAGCCTTACTCGGAATATGTTATTCTATTAACATTTGTATCAGTACACATGATAATGTTTAATCTCAGGGTCTATGCAACACAAGGAAAAATTGAGTGTAATAGTCAAGTCCTTTTATATTTAGAAGGAAGATGTCTGTTTCGCATCCTTTGCTTTTAGGAACTGCCAATCCTTTTGGGAACTGCTCTCTTCCCTCACTGTGATTATGATAGAGCTGTCAATCAAGAGGCTCTGATTCCACAACCAATTAACAAAGCCTGACTAGAGAACCCCTTACCTTTAGACCAAAGATCAGCAAACTCTTTCTTTAAAGTATAAGTATTTTAGGCTTTGAAGTCCATACAGTTTCCATAGCAACTACTTAATTATGCTGTTGTAGCACAAAAGCAGCCCTTGAAAATACATAAACAATGAGCATGCCTGTTCCAATTAAACTTTACTTTTAAAAAATAAAGGCAAAATTTGGCCCGCAGGTTGTGGTTTACCTACTCCTGACCCAGACAAAGTGATTGTATATGTGTGATTCAAGAAGGGATGTTCAAGTCCCTTTATACATATTATTATAGATGACAGGAGACAGAAAGCCTCTCTCATTTTGCAATCTCAAACTCTAAGTAATATATAATCCTGGAGCTGATGGAGACTCTCTCCCAAAATGGAGAAACTAAGTAATGAGAGAAAGAGACAGATTACAATAACGAAGTATTTATTTATATAACAATTGAATTATTTAATAGTAGACTGTAATATATATATAAAAATTATAGTAGACTGTAGTATATATAAAAATTATTTAACAGTACACTATTCACGAAAACATTTCTCAGCTTGCTTTTTGCAGCCAACCTTATTCTTCACCAAAAGTAGACAAGGTCATTACAGGAAAACTAAAAACCAATATAAAACACAAATGCAAAACTACTGAACTAAAAATTAGCAATATAGGAAGACATAATGACCAAATGCAATTTAACCCAAAAATATAAGACTAATTTAACATTCAAAAACCAATCAATATAATTCACTATGTTAACAGAATAAAAAGAAAATCATCCTCCAGTAATCTTTATAAGTGTAGACAAAGCATCTGACAATTAAACACCCACTCATGATAAAGACTGTCAATGAACTATAACTACAAGGAAACATCTTCAATGTAATAAAGGGCATTGTCAAAAAAAAAAAACACAAAACTATTTCTAACAACATATTTAATGCTAAAAGACTAAATTCTTAACCCTTAAAATTGAGAAAAAAAATCAAGTATGTCCACTCTCACTACTACTTTTCAAAAATGTACTAGCAGTCCTAGAGAGTGCAGTAAGGAGAAGAAAAAGAATTAAAGGCATAAAAAGGAAAAAGATAAAAGTTTCTCCAGTCACAAAGGGCATGACTCTGTACAAGGAAAATTCTACGCAATCTTTTTTTATTTTTTTAATATATTTTATTGACTTTTTACAGAGAGGAAGAGAGAGGGATAGAGAGTTAGAAACATCGATGAGAGAGAATCATCGATCAATTGCCTTTGCACACCCTCTGCTGGAGATGTGCCCTCAACCAAGGTACATGCCCTTGACCAGAATTGAACCTGGGACCTTTCAGTCCGCAGGCCAACGCTCTATCCACTGATCCAAACTGGTTTCGGCAAAGCAATCTTTTAAAAAGCCACTAGAACTAATAAATGACTTCAGGAAAATAACAGGATAAAAGTTTAGCAAACTAAACTAAAATATATTCCTATGTAATAAACAACAGAAATAGAAATTTTAAAACAACTCCATTTTATGATAGTATCAAAACACATAACATACTTGGGAATAAATATAACAAAATATGTGCAAAATATAGTGAGAATTACAAAATACTGCTGAGAAAAATTACAGAAAACTTAAGAAGTGGAAAGATATGAAAGACTATTATTAAGATGACAATTTTTCCAAATTCATTTACATATCAATAAAATCCCAATCAAAATCCAGCAACCTTTTATTTTAGCAGAAAAAGCTAATTATAGAAAGGCAAAGGACCTAGAATGGCCAAAACAATTTATATAAAGAATAAAAATGGAGGATTTATCTGATTTAAAAACCTACTATAAATCAATCAACACAGAGTCATATTGGCATTCAGGATAAATATATAAATTAATGGAATAGATATGAGTCCAGAAAGACATTCAACACCTACTGATTTTGTCAACTGATTTTGAACAAAAGCATTAAGATAATTTAATCAGAAAAGAATAATCCTTTCAACAACTGGAACAACTAGAAAGCCCTAAGTGAAAAAAAATAATGCAAGACCTTTACTTCTCATAATAAAAAAATTAACTCACAGTATAACACAAACTGAAATGTGAAAACTAAAACTAAAACATGTGCCTACACAAGACTTGCACACAAATGTTCATAGCAACTTTATTCATTAACAGCCAAAACCTGAAACAAATGTTGAACAAATGTTCAACAGGTGAATGCACATAACCATGGTATATCCATAAAAAAGAAACATCACTAAGAAAAAATTACCTTTAGTGCATCTATACAGATAAACTTCAAAAACATTATGCTCAGCAAAAGTCCAGCAACAAAATACTACAGACTTTATTATTACATTTGATTGAAACTCTAGACAAGGCAAATCTAATCTAGAATTACTAAAAGCAGATCAGTGGTTGCCTGGGACAAAAGAATCAGGTGGACTGACCTGAGAGGACAAAAGAAAACTGTTTTGAGATTACGGAGTTTATGTTAACAATGTGATTTATGGGAGGGGCCTTGGACCACAGGGTATTAGCCTGACCTCTGGAGGGCTCGGAGAACTAAGCTCAGCCAAGCCCACATAACAAACCTCCAATAAAAGGCTCAGGTGAACGTCCCTGGTTGGCAATACTTCATGCACACTGCCACACATCATTGCTGGGAGAACCAAGGACTGTTTGTATCACTCCAGTCGGAGAGGACAACTAGAAGCTTGCACCGGGTCTCTCCTGGACTCTGTCCTATGTGCCTTGTCTATTACTAACTTTAGTTTTATTGTAATAAACTGAAACAACAAATACAACAGCTTTGCCGAGTCCTGTACGTACTTCTAGCAAATTAATGAACCTTTGGGTGGACTTAATATATAGCAATCTATCTGAATTATTATGTACATGAGACAGTATTTCAATAAAATCTAATAACATCTAAAAAAGCAGGTCATCCATCTTACAAAATCAACAACTACCTATCAATGTCTCCCGAACACTGTCCAAACAAAGTGCTTTAAAAATCTGGGCATAAAACAAAATATCAAAAGTGAGGTAAAATCAGAGTAAAGTTCTATTTTGATTCCATCAAGGTCGTCTTATAATAATTCAAAAGATCAAGTTTAAGAACCTGCTAAATCATTCATATTCGTTACTAAAATATATACATCTAGATATTTGAGTAGTTGAACTAAGTTTATTATCTTATTTTATGATAAACAGTATCTTTGGAATACTGTAGATGTGATTACACCCAGACAAAATCTACATAGGCAGTCCAACTGCAAACTCCACCCGAAATTAGCCGGAGTTTTAATTTACCAAGATCAACTGAAATATTCACTAAATTACACACACCCCCACAAACACACACACACACACACACACGCACACACACCATGGTATTCTCTTTATCTCTAAGTCATTCCTAAAATAACAAACTGAAAGACTTCTGTGACTAAATAAGTATAAAGAATTCTGAGATCAATCCCTCCCCATTCTTCAGTCCATTGAGACTCTTTGGAAGGAATGTGTTCTTAATCTGTTGTAAAATTATGGGGTTTCATGACACGTTCCCTAAAAGATGACAGATATGCCCAATGGGCATGGCTCAGTGGCTGAGCGTCAACCTGAACCAGGAGGTCACTGCTCAGTTCTGGTCGGGGCACATGTTTGGGTTGCCAACTCAATCTCTGGTGTGGGGTATACAGGAAGCAGCTGATCAGTGGTTCTCTCTCATCACTGATGTTTCTCTCTCTTTCTCCCTTTCCCTTCCTCTCTGAAACCAATAAAAATATAATTTTTAAAAAGATGAGTTATAAAGCTAACTCTTCAGAAGCATGTTTGTGAGGAGATATGCATAGTATACAGCAGAGTCCCTTATAACTTAACACTAAAGATATTTCTTATTCAGTGATAACTTATTTATAAATCTATTCTACATTATTTATAAAATGCTATCAAAAGATTTCTGAACACAGAGAGAAAAATGTAATCATCCAAACATTATAGCAAAATTTTAAGTGACCAATACTTACATTATAACAATACATTACATTAAAAGGGAGTTCTAGCCTTTACTGTCAACTTGGAAAATGAACTATAAATATAACCCCCCCCAAAAAAAAAGATCCAAGTAAAATAGCATCAATGGTGTGCATGTGTGTGTGTCCAAATGTGTCTATAAGCACTTGATATCATAAATCTAGGCTTATTATTACCTCTTTAATTTTTTCCCTTTTCATTCTTATGTCATTATCTTCTGGATCTCCACCATTTATTCCTGAAAGTTTTGGTATAGGAACTGGTGGTAGTGGCTTTTTCTCTTTCATCTTTATAT